AGAACAGTTGTCAGACTGGGATTGGGGAAGGCGTTGGCGTTCAGTGGCCATGGGTTGGGTTGCAGGAAGGGCCATGAAGTCTCTGCTTTGGTCTGTGGAACCAATATCAGCAAGTGTGCATCCACTAGGGGCTGTATTTCAGAGCAGAGAATTCATTTCAATCATAATTGACTAACTGAAAAAATGTACTATTGATTGGATTGGTTTTTGATAGGAATTGTATTGGAAGAGGGCTATGGTAGAATGGGATTGGTGACGGAAATGACAGTGGTGGCAGTGGTTAAAGGCAGTAGCATTGATAGTGGAGATGGAGAGGGAGGCAACTTCCAGTACATGGAAAGGGGAAGCAAATAACATTCCAAGGGATACCATTTTTGGAATTGAAATCTTAGTATTTTTGTGCTTTGTACCTATTATGTTATTTTTGTACGGTGGAAACTTAAATAGGGGGCAATTTGCCGAAACTGAAACATGAGAGAGCTAATTGAAAAATAATAATGAGTTGTAGGGACAATTTGTAAATAACTCTTTGTATGAATATGCGAGAGTACTTTGAGATTTACTAGGATACTGAAAAGCAACCGCTGCTGGTAAAACGCAAATTACAAAAGGCAGAATTTTGGCAAGCCAAATTTGTTTCCACCGATCAGAAACAAATGTTGTGAAAGATGTTAAGGATCTGTTTGCCTAAAAAGTTGATTTCAGGTTGGGGACCAATATATGAACATCTCAAGTGGAAAATTTTCTTCTCTTATGCTTCCCCCCTTTTAACTTGCTTTCTATTTTTTATGGCAGAAAAAAAGTAGGGATGGTATTAGCATGCCACTACTTATGATTGTGCATCAACCAGTAATTATGAGGTGTATTGGATGATACTTCATAACACAACATGATAATTGATGATTCTCAATATAGCGAGTATGAAACTCCTTTCTTAAGCTTCGCAAACCACTCACTACAATAAGTCAGAAAAAATAGGTAAGAAAGTCAGTCGCTCACCATGACCTATACTAAAAGAGAGCCCCTGATGAAGTATTCCTCAAACATATAGGGATTACTAACCCTTTTAGAACTTACCGGACTCAGAATCTCTATGTACAGAATGAAGCAGAAGCTCATCAACAAAAAATGAACAGATATAAATTCTTACAGTCATAGGGTTGGGATCCAAGATTCGAGTTATCAATTTCATGGCACCAAATGAGAGCCAAGGAGGGCAAGTGAATTCAGCAGCGGAAATCTGAACAGAGACATGGTGAAACTTACAAGTACATGATGGAGAAAATTGGATAAACTGTGTGACGAAATTACTGAAATGCTCACTTTTTTATATAGGTTCATAAGATTAGAATCATCAAAAGGCAAGTAACCTGCAAGCAACACAAAAAGAATGACTCCACATGACCACAAGTCTGCAGTTGCCCCATCATAGCCTCGATCGTTGAGGACCTAAAAAGAAACATTTCTATTTTTACAACCCTAAGCACAAAAAGAACACAAAAAAAAAAAAAATAGATGAGGTAAACAAGTTAGCGTGATCAACAGCCATCTGCACCTCAGGAGCGACATAGTTTGGAGTTCCGCAGGTAGTGTGAAGCAGGCCATCATCCTGCCAAATCCATTTTAAAATAAGAACCAGATTCGGATTGTTAGAGTTGACACCAAAGCGAAGTCAATGTAGTTGTAATATAAGAACAAAAAAATGCACCAGAAGTAGATTAATTTTAAACTTATCAATCAAACTGCAAAAGTACACCACAGAAAAGAAGCAACTCCTATTTTTAGAATGGATAACATCTATGATCAAAAAAGATCAAAATAACACACAAATAGAACACTAGACCAACAGACGCATTTAAGGACCTGACTTTGAGTCAAACTATGAGCTACAAAAGCATTGGATGTTCTTATGCAAAATGCTATGCAAACGTAATCAGACTCTTCAGTTGGTCGTATCCTAGAATGAGGAAAGAGTCAGCTCAGACATGCATCAAAAAGGACTTGAATGTTTTGCACCCTCTAGTCCACTCGATAAACCGTCTCTCCACAGTTAGTCCAATGGATATTTCTTTCCTTAACCTGCAATCAATTGGTAACAGAGGCAAGATTGCTCCACATTCATTCCCAATGTACGACCAAAGACCAAAAACATATGGATGACTTGTTTCGGTAAGTATTATCACCAAATCAATAAGTAATTGATTGATCCATATGGCATATTTTATCGCGATGCAGCTTGTAACATCGCCAACCTCAATGCCGACATGTTGGTTTCTTATTTAACCAAGAAAACAAGACCAGATTATAGATTTTTAGTCATCCACTTTGAGAAGAACAGGGGACTCTATCCAACATACATGTTTGGAACCCTACTCGTCTAAGAGCTTATCACCACTCTCTACATGCATCGTGTGAAATTAGTCTTACGAAAGCATGCTCTTCCTACAACCACTATTTTATTTTATTTTCATGAGTCAATGTATCCCCCTCCTTCAACAACCTATGCCTCAGTCTGCATCTTACTCTTGCTCCACTGAGAATCCAATGGTCAACATCTTCACCAGACCACCATAATGTCTTAACTCCAGACTCCAAGGACCCAATGTCATTATTTTTATTTCAAGTCATCATCAGCATGCTACCGCTCGGAGAGTCCACCAACGATTGCCTATAGGTGAGTCCAACAATGTAGGCACAGCATATTTACATAATGCTACTCACCTATAAGCTTAAGACCCTCCCACGTTTCCTTAGAAATCTGGTGCTACGGAAAAGTTTATATGGTCCTTTAGTTATAAAGGAAACTAACGCCTCGCAAGTTCAAAATCCTAGTGAGGCATTTGTGAAAATTTACACTTCATGTCTAATCCCAATTTTCCAAGAAAAAATCTACTATTGAATTTCACACAGAGTACGTCTCATCAGTATGAGTTACTGGGTGGAGTGTACTAGACAATGAATTAATAAAATGCATTCCATCGCATGTGTTGCGCAAAACAAACTTACCCGTTCCAACTTTCATCCTGCAATTTAATATTCCATCTCAAATGTCTTATCAGGCATCACTACTCTATTTGTGGCCATTCTTCCCGATTAAAAGCAAAGTTTTTAAAATCGGGATCCTATCTTGGATCGATGGGGGAGATTATAGGATCGGGATCGTAGGATTAGATCAAAAATCGTAAGATCCTATCAACTAAGAAAATGAGACGAAAAATATATGTAACAATACAAAATTCGCAAAAACAGGACTTAAACAAGCCTAATATCCATGCAACTAGGAATATTACAATAAAAATCAAACTTAGGTATGATTGAAATTTGATAAACCGCAATTTGAACATTAAAGAAGGTTTAAAATCAAAGACGGATTGTTAATCTTGTGAGATTGTGCAAATTGCAAAGAGAAATAAAAAAATTCAAGTATTTTTATCTTAACTTTCACAGAAGAGATAAAGAGCAGAAACTAGAAAGTTGAAAGATTATTAGATAATAACTTTTAGCTATTAACATTCAAACAAAAAAGCATAAAAAATAAAAAATAAAAGACTATTTGGCTATGATCACTCACCATGTGAGAAGATTAAATCTAACCATTGTTTTCAACTTTTTAACAAGAGAGACGAACGAATAAAAAAAACATTTTTGAAAAACAAACTTCCTGTAGCTTTTCTCATCTTTTGAAATTTTCCAACAGACTCACAAGTATATAAGGGTATTCACATTTGCATCGCAGTATTTAATCATAAAAACCAAAAAATATGGATTGAATTGCTCAGTAAATAAATACGCTTACCAAACAAACTCAACAACTTGGATCGATAAAGTCATAGTTTGGATCGGGATCCTAAGATCATATAAGATCCAGATTGCAATTCATTAAGATCCTACAAATTTAGGATCCTACATGAGACTTGGATTGATTTACAGTCTCACTAAACCACTACACTACAATATCTTTCATTATCTACCTCTTTGTCCAATCTTTCAACAACACTCAGTCTTTTGTCTATTGTTTTACCCTAAATACTTCAATGAGAGTATTTCTGCATAGATTATAAAACATTTTCAACAAGCATAAGAGATAACCATATTTCTCATATAGAGCTTTGAATGTATCACATTCTTACCACCATGAACAGGAGTGGATCAAAACTAACAGAGTGATACTCCATCATCTAATATTTACCAAACAAGCTTCAGGTAGCACACACTGCAGTTTAATCACTTGTGAACCTAAATATCTACTGGTATATGATTCAAGCATATTTAAAATATACTCAATTCCATCTTTATCTCAGTGAAACATTTCCAGTGTTAATTACTTACAATACGATGCATTGCTCTTTCTTGATAAAGTTTAACAAGATACAATTCTTTGGAGCCAAATAGGATAAAGACAATAAAAGACGAATTCATGAAGAAACATTCAGAAGCCATAATCTCATATTTACCCTGACTTGCTGAGAAAGAGCACTCAAACCAAAATCAGAAACTTTGAGGTGTCCATAGGTATCCAATAGTAGATTTTCAGGCTGCACAAAAAATAAAATAAAGAAAGAGAAAAAAATGAAGCTAAGCTCCGCAGGTTAGTATTTCATAGCTAGATGTTTGCAAAAGTAGCATTATTACCTTCAAATCCCTGTGATATACACCCCTACTATGGCAATAATCCACGGCATTAATAAGCTGTTGGAAATATTTTCTTGCTTCATCTTCTCGCATACGTCCAAGGTTCACCTTCATAGTCAGAAAATCCTCACACTAAGTTTTATGTTATGTTTAAGAAATCCACGATATCCAATTAAATGGTAAAAGCCAAAAGAGATGGATGAAAATTTTATTTCTGATGCAGTAAGAGTACCACTAAGCTGAATGGGAATTGAGAAACTGCAAGCATGATCTGCAATATATGTCTATCGTTGTATCTTTTATGACATGGTTTTTGAACACCTTAAATTTGGAATTAAAACCATAGTACCAAGTTGTATAATGAGAACTCAGTGGCTTACAATTTTGTCAAAGAGCTCTCCCCCAGTGACATACTCTAAAATGATATATATCTTGGTCTTGCTCCCCATTACCTGAAGGCAGATAAAAATCATGTGAGACAGCACAAAGTGAAAAAGAAAAGAAAAAGAAAAAAGAAAGGGACAAATAAATAAACGCGTTAATTTATGATAGTACATTTTCAATCTATTTATAATAAGAAACTTAAAATCTTATTTTAGTGTTGAAATATATAAATACCTATGTTACTCCATCTCTAACATCTTATCCTTCTAGATGAGTTGGTGGTGTTAACACTTATAAATATGCAGCTATACAGTAACTCTAGTTTTAATATGGGTATCATTATGTAATGAAAATTAGACTTTACAGGGAAGCAATACAACTAAACAAGTTGCACAATGGACTAATATTTCAAGACAAAGTAAAATAGCTCCTAGATGGTACTTAGAAATTATATTGCTTAGGAACTATTCCAAAGTTTATGCCCGCGTCCCCACGTTATAACATGTACTTGATTCTTCTTATCCGAGTTCACAAACTTAGCTATATATTCAATCCAATCATAACTTAGACAACAGGAGCATCAATTGGATTTGCCTCAAAGCTTTTCACCTTAGTTATTTCGTAAAGACCTCCATATTACGGTTGCGTTACTTAATGGAAATTACTTCCACTTTGGTGCCATTCCACAAAAGGGCAGCTCCAAAATGGTGAGACTTAGTGATATCCTTATATTCATCCCATTTTCTTGTGCCTTGTGCCTTGGTATTCATTAGAGTTTCATAATTTCAAGGGTTTTGCATTAAAGAGTATCATCAAATGTTTTGCTTTGAAGCAATTTTTACCAACCAATACAAAAGACTATTTCTATAGAAATCTGCAATCAATTTTCTTTAGTTTCGCATCCCAAAATGCTTCATAAACTAGACTTAGATGCTGTCACGATTAACCATCGCATTGGAATTCACAACCAAATACTCCAGAAATCCAATTAGTTTTAATCTATAGTTTGATCCTGGCAGACTCTCGGGTCAAGGGTTCAAGCTTTGTGCCAACACGAACGAAAACAAAGGAATTTTATGGTACAGTATGTGCGAGAGGCAAGGTCTTAAGGCTTTATAAATGTGACCTAACAAACTCCCTTCCCTTTTGCTATGTCTTCACCTTTTAAAACTCCAAATAATTTTTCCGCAACCTCTGCCCACTATAAGTTTAACCGAAGGCAGCATTAGTTAAGATTAGTTTGATTTTCTCAGATCTGCCCTGCATCAATTTGGTTCAGCACTAAAGGATCCTGATACAAACTCCTTCCAGAAAGTTCTTTCCCACAACTATTTGATGAAATTCATACACTACTTTGATGCTGAGAAGTACTGAATTGAGTCCAAAAGTGGAGATATTCATTCTGCACCTCTATAATATCACAAGGATATCAGCTACACTGCATGGTAGTGATTTATATGAGCGTAAATTATCTATATGAGCAGAGTTGAACTTGATTGAAATATCTAGGTTTAGTTAAAGATAACTTGAAGCTGTGCTAAAAAAGATAGACTGGATATTGTTATTAATATTGTTGATATTATTACTACCAATTAACAAATTCAGTTTCACTAAATGGATACATACACTACATTCACACATATGCTTTCACATATTCATTACATTTATAAATATTTAAATTCGTAAAATTCTGTATGATTACAGTGATAGCTATATGAGAGTCAGAATTCTCTTTCATTCAAACGTGCAGGACTTCACTTGACTCCCTCACTTAATGCACAGTTGCTCTTGTCCAACTTCATTTTAGATGCTTTATCCCACTAAAGTTGACTAAATCATTCTGCAGTCTCATCTTTATTGCATCATTTTCTTTTTCTTCTCTCCTCCTCCTCCTCCTACTCCTTATATTGTGAGTTGCCGTTGATGACCGTATCAGTCCTCAGTTATTATAATTTTCCTCCCAAAACCATATCCCACAGATCCTTCTCCATTCCACTACTTCATAGACTTGGTAAAAAACTCTGAAAGCGGAGTTCATTACATTCTACAATTTCTGACAATTTACTTTCTGCAATAAGTGAGCCAATTAGTTCGAAGTCATGCATTTCCAAGTCTAAAACTATTTGTACGCATTTTTCAAACCTTGAACCAACAGCTCTTCTGTACCCTTCACACCTCCTAGTGTTGTTTAGCATTATAAAACACTTCACATCGTTTAGACCACAGCCTTAGCAAACACAATCATTCTCCAAATTTCCTCATGACAACTGTATAGGTTTGCAATGGAGCAATCCCAATTACTCATCAAACACACGAATAGTGATAAGGATCCAAACTTCAATTGGATCTTAGCCTCCAAAGCATAAAAAGAGCAGAAAGTTGAACTCAAACTTCAAATCTGTCACCAACCTACTCAATTAAAAGCTTAAGTTTTTAGAGAAAATGGTAGTTAGCACATCTCATGTGACATCAATTCTCCTTTATGAGTGAACTAAAGGAAATTTCAGGACTCAAAAAATGGACATGCATCCACTAATGCCGTGTTAACAATCAATTCCTCTATAAGCTTAAGCTAGGGAGTGTTTATATCGTCAAAAGAAGCTAAAAGCCTGATGATAAATACATAGAGTAGATTAGTGCGCACCAAGAACTTCATTCATGGACAATTACATGAATACTCGTGAAATATGACTCAATTGTCAGTAGAACAGACAATAGTGTTGTATACACCATAGTAGTTTTAGACAAGAGTGAGGACAAATATTTTTCATTTAAAATTAGTATCATGGTTGTCTTTTGCTTGAGAAGTGACAATATAAATGATATGTGAGATAAAGGAAATCCTCAACAATCCACAAACGATTGAATATCCAAATCAAGAGGGTAAAGCTAAAGTAAAAAAATATGTAAACAGAAACTCAGATGCATATTTTTTTTAAAGCAAAAAAGGCCCAAAATGCCGATCTTGATTCTAAAGTTTCATGAGCATTACTAGAGCTGCTTTTAGGGAAAAGCATGTCCTTTCCTGCTGTTGGGGAAAGCCACTACTAATTGTCTTGGCTAATTAAGAATCCATCCATCTCGCCATTCTAAAATCCCTTCTACATCTCTAGAATTGAGTGTTGAATTAAATATCAAAACAAAAATCATTAATTTCAGTGAACATTTGATGATGAAAATTATTGCACCGGAAGAAGCAAGGTTTTTAGTACAAATTCCCATCACATTCACACGTGCACACAAATACTCACCCATGCCCTTATGCACAAAACTAACCTTGTGCGCGCGCACACACACACACACACACACATATATATATAGAGAGAGAGACCTCATACAAGCGAACGACATTTGGATGCTTTATCAACTTCATTGTAGCTACTTCCCGCTTTATCTGCACAATTGTGAAGACAATATATTAGAAATTACATACAATCATAATGGAGCTTCATTTGGCAGTGTAAGACTAAAGAGCCAATAGAGGCCAATCTGAGTAACTCTGCTGATACATGAAAAGTAACATATAATGTGGAGACGGGATTTCGCAATAAGTCAGCTACATAATTGATAAGCTGTGACTAGAAAATTAGGGGTGAGAGAGAGAGAGAGACTAGAAACAAACCTGTTCAGCCATTTTGTGTTTAAGAACCTTGTCCTTGTCAAGGATTTTGAGAGCCACATGTTCTCCCGTCTCAGAATTTCTTGCAAGCTTCACTTTTGCGAATGTCCCTTCGCCAATAGTCCTTCCCACTTCATATTTGCCCACCCGACGTTTGATTTTCGACGGATTCATCCTTGATTAGCTGAATTCCTCTAATTATGCTTGCACTTCTTGTACAAAAATTTCCCTGTTTTGTGACAAAAAATGTATTATATTGGTTGTCAGTCCTCTGGATTATCAAAATAAAAATTAATTTGTAGGACACAAAAAAGTATCCACACTAAAGAATAGATATGTCCAACTGAACCCGCAATCTGGGTGCTTGTATGAGAAACAAGTTTAAGAGAGAGAAAGAGAGAACATCAAAAATAATATGCAAAGTTTGCAACTCCCAAGAAATTTAGAAATTGTATAGCCATAGAGTTCCAACATCCTAATCCCCCTCCACCCAAAACAAAAACAAAAACAAAACAAAAAACCCTCTCCCCAATCCCCCAAAAAACAACGGTCGAGAGAGAGAAGATGGAAGTATAATAAAAAAAACAGACAACTACTTTGTCTGTTACATTTAGATATAGATTAGTCAAATCCACCAACATAATATATATATCTCCATCGATAAATCTTTGTAATTATTAAGTAAAGGGAGATTAAATAAAATAAATAAACAACCAGTGAGCAGTAGAATTTCGAGATGGGTAGATTTTTGTTACCTCTAATTCTAAGCACCAATCCCCCAGTAGATCACAGGATAGACTTTGTAATAGCCAACTACCACCCAAATTCACCAAACCAACAGAATTGACACCAAATTTAATGAACAATTAAAAGAGAGTTGTAATAAGGGTTTTGATTCTTTTGAAGTTGTCAAACAACAGTAACTATATCAGCACGAAAACAAAACAAGCACAGAACCCAGAATTTCTCCAAATCCCAGCTATAAACTAAGGATTACCCGAGAGAGAGAGAGAGAGAGAGAGAGAGAGGATATTCAGATTTGGAAAACCTACCAGCAGCCCAATTCAAAACTACCCCAAAGAAACTAGAAAGCAGCACTTATTGCAAAAGAGAAAAAAGGGTCCAACATATGTAAATGAAGGCTGTGGTCATTGTGAAATATCCTTTTTTTGTTCGCATTGTGGAATATACAGTCAAAGCAAGAAAACATATGAAACAGCGGAGACTGTACCTCAAATGACAAGTTTCAAGTTTCAACAAGCAAATTAGGTACACCAAGTATCCACAAATATACATAATGCGTGTAAAAGAATTGAAGTGAAGTTGACAGCGGGAGAGGGAGAGAGAGAGAAAGAGGATATTATCATTGGACTAAAACTTATGACACTCAAATCAAATTAATATTATCATTGGACTAAGTTCTATCCTCTTAACTCCCATAATTGTTTATTATGTTGTTATTTTAAAATGGTATTTTTCATTAATAATTTTTATTTAATAACTCTTCTAAAGCTTATTCTTGTGTAATCTATCTAATATTGTAGTTAACAATTTCAATTTCATGTTTTTAAAAGCATAACATAGGTTGAGATTAATTTAATCTGCATTCAATTTTATTTTAAAAAATAAAATTCATTTAAAAAGAATTGTCAAAAAATATTATCTTCTCTACACGGGTCCCAGTGTTAAACATCTCAACCAATAAACTTTTTGAATATCAGACAACCTCACTAATCTACACTTACTATTTATTTTCTTTCTCTCTCTTATTTTCGATTATTCACTTTAATTTTAAATTATATGTTAAAAAATAAATTATTATTTAAAATATAAAAATATTACACGATCAATGCCCGATTGTTTATATTACAAAGTGTAGAGTGTGTTTGTGCATAGGATTAATGCTAATTCTCTTAAATGTGATAAGGTCTCTATGTTAGTTTACCAAATTTTAGGTGGGTGCCATCGTAATTAATGAAAGCTTTTTCCTTTACAACCACACGTACTGAGAGTCCAGTCAATTGAATTTGGCAATGAATTAAGATTAGTTTTTATAACAATTATTGCCAGAAAGTTCTATGTAAGAGGATCTATTTTGTCCACGTGTTTTATGCTGCGCGTGGGGACAGAGAGGACAGTACACAGTACATTTGTGGTTGACAATAACGGGCGCATGCTCTCTCTCTCTCTCTCGGCATAAATTTAGCTAATATTTGAAAATCTCAGCTTATGTTAACTCACATGGATATATTTGTGTCTCTACCTTTTTTTTGTTTAAAGGGTAGATTATTCTCGTTCTTTAAATTTTTTTTATTTAATTTTTTATTTTAAAATATTAAGTTCACCTCATTAATTCTTCAACTCACCTCATTTATATTAACTAATTAAAAATTAAATTCATCTAATTTTATTTCAACTTACTGTATAAAAAATTATCAAAATTTTGTTTCGATTTATTATTTCAATACAAAAATATTTTAGAAACAGAATAAAATTAATTAAACATTAATAATTATTTTTAAAATATTAGTCAATAAATATATTAAGACTCCTCAAAATATTTCAAAGACATTAGTGAAAATATGTCAAAATATTTCAATAACTATTTTTGTTTCGATTTTTTTAACACATATTTAATATTTTAATTGAATATGTATAATAGTAACTAATGGAGTGGGTATAAGTGAGGTGAATTTAATAATTTAAAGTAATATGACTAAATGAGGTAGGAAATGAGATTTAAAGGTTGAGAATAGTCCCACCTTTTTTTATATCTAACTATCTATTTATTTTTTAATATCATATTTTTATTTTTTGTTCATTAAAAATATAATACGTGATAATGATAAATTATGCACGTGGGCACGAGCTCAGAACGTGAGCTCTAGACTCAATAAGGACCTTAACTCCTTGCTCGCTAGCACTCCAGCTCAGCAGTTCCTCAGCTTTGTTCATCTTGACTAATTCAAACCAATTGAGATATTCACGGTAGAAAGCCTCAGCTTCTATTCCATTTTCAGTGTCGCTTCATTCAAATAATTGTTAAAGATCTACAACGGCACAATCCATTGACCTAAAGAAAGACCAAGTTATGTATCATCTAAGTAAGTAATTCATTCCTGACTAAATACAGCTTCTCTCCATCATTCTCTTATGACTTTACTATCGGAGGGTCGACTATTCAAGTCCCTCTACCTTTTAATTTCTTTTGCAGGAAGACTCTGCGCAATTGCCAGGTCACGACTTCAATAATTCATCACAGTGAACGGATTGTGGAATCAACAATTGGTGCCATATGGGAGAACCACAATCACATTTCCAATATCACAAACCCTCATATCTCTTGGCTATCACCCGATCAAGGAACCAACATTAGGTCAAACTCACATACAAGTTCCCATCTAGAAGAACGAAGGATGAAATGACCATTACAAAAAGAATCGAAAAAATTCAAAAAGTTAGAAAAAGTGGTGGAGGAGTTAAAGTGTCAAAACCAACAAATCCTTCAACTCCTAGAAAGGGATTAATCCTAGACCAAGGAACATGAAAGAGACATTCAGAATGTAGAGTGAAGCTAGAATGAGGTTGTTCCCTCACAAGTCAATGACAAGTGCGAACAAAAGTTCCAGGAAATAAACGAGAAGCCCAGAAACATCATAAATACTGTGAAGGCTCAAGTCCTCAAGGCTGTGGAGGCTCAAATATAGCACACTGAGTCACCTTTTTCACCCAAGATATGTCTAACTACCCACTCCCAGAAAGGTTTAAGATGCCAACAATCAAAAGCTTCAACGAAACAAAGGATCCACTTGATCATCTAGAGACCTATAGGTTTATAATGATGCTCAAGGCCGACCCAACAGCAGGTGTAAAAAAGCCTAGGTTTTAGGCCCCATTTCAAAGGAAGGCCCCAAATTTTAAACATTGTAAATAACCCATGTAAAAAAAAGATCTTATAAAAATATAAGCCCAATCAATAGGCCCATAATTCAATCCAAACATTAAATATCTAAAAAAAAATTAACAATATAAAAAAAAAACTGAAAGGTCATATCAAAAGCTGCTAAAAAAATAAAAAAGTCAAATCATATCCTATCTTCCTTTTCACACACACAATCTCTCTCTCTCTCTCTCTCTCTCTCGGTAAACCAACTACACCAACAACACAAACAAGTATTTTTCTTTCTCTGTCTCCCATTAAACTGAAATTAGTCTGAAACAAAAAAAAACTCTTCATTCTTCCCTCTCTCTCTCTCTCTCTCTCTCTCTCTCTCACACACACACACACACATAGTGCTCTCAAGCAAGGCCGGCCCAACAGCAGGTGTAAAAAAGCTTGGGCTTTAGGTCCCATTTCAAAGGAAGGCCCCAAATTTTTAAATATTGTAAATAACCCATGTAAAAAAAAATCTTATAAAAATATAAGCCCAATCAATAGGCCCATAATTCAACCCAAACATTAAATATCTAAAAAAAAATTAACAATATAAAAAAAAAACTGAAAGGTCATATTAAAAGCCACCAAAAAAATAAAAAAAGTCAAATCATATCCTATCTTCCTTTTCACACACAATCTCTCCTCTATCTCTCTCTCTCTCTCTCGGTAAACCAACTACACCAACAAAACAAACAAGTATTTTTTTTTCTCTCTCTCCCATTAAATTGAAACTAGTCTGAAACAAAAAAAAAATTCTTCCTTCTTCCCTCTCTCTCTCTCTTTCTCTCTCTCTCTCTCTCACACACACACAGTGCTCTCAAGCCCCAAATCAGTGAACTCGTTACTTAATACTCACCTCTCACAGATCACTTTTTTTTTTTTGCCAAGTGCTACAGCTAGGGGTGGAAGAGAACTCACAGATCACTCACCTGTGACTGACTCGGCCTCCACGGCTCCACTTCATCCTCCATTTGAGATCATTCAAGCTAGGTTCTATTGTTTCATAATTTTAAATTTTTTATTATATATTTTTAACTATACTATATATTGTTTGTTTGTGTTTGTTTGGTTGTTATATAGTTATAATATATTAGTAATATGGCACCTAGGAGACAACTAAGTGGACACAAAAAATTTAAAAAAGAAAAGAAAAATAGATCAACTAATAGAATCTCAAAAAGGATCTCTTGATAAATTTGTTAGTAGTAACAAAAATAATGTAAAAAAAAAATTAGATGAAAATTTTGAAAATGAACAAGTAGATAATGAAATGGAAGAGAATAAAATAAAAAATATTGAAATAAAAGATAATGAAATAGAAGATAGTGAAATAAAAAATATTGAAGTAGAAAATATTGAAATAAAAGATAATAAAATAGAGGATAATGAAATAGAAAATATTAAAAAAGAAAATAGGGAAATAAAAGATAATGAAATAGAAGACAATCAAAATTTTAATAAAACAAGTGATTATAGTCATATAAATATTTATGATCCAAGTCAATGGAAAAATATTGATACGAAATTAAGAGATTTATTAGTAGAAAATGGTCCAATTAGATATAATAATTT